TTCAAAAATACCAAAATTAAAAATAAACAGAGCAAGTCCCACGCTGGGACTGGCAAAAAATCACCAAAACCAAAACACCGACCCTCAATCCCCCCCACCAACAAAACAAAAAACTTTTTTAAAAATCAGCACCTTACCAGTCTGAAGCCTCCTCAGCCTCCTGGGCTTCCACTGCTGCTGTGACCACCAGCGGTGGGAGGCCTGAGCCACGGCCAGGGGGGAGCAGCCAAGCACCCGGCCAGCTCAAGCCTCCCCACGCTCTGCTGCCTCTGCCATGACTGGGGGCGAGCAGTCAAGTGCCCAGCCAGCTCAAGCCTTCCGGTGCTGGGTGACTGCTGCCTGCAATCATGGTGGTGGGACCCCCCGGGAGATCTCCCAGGGCTTCCCCGCTGCCATTGGAGACCTCCTGGGGGTCCAATTGTGGTGGCAGGGGAGCAATTTTAAATTTCCCGCCCTTTTCTGCTGCTGCGATCAGACACCGAGGAGGGGGCTTCGCCACCACCATCGGAGACCTCCTGGTGGTCCCCCACCACTTGATTGGTGCCTTCAGGCTTTCCCGTGGGGTAGACTAGGCCTACCAGGGGAAGTCCTCCCCTGGTAGACCAGACCTACCAGGGGAGGGCTTCTCCTGGTAGGCCCAGTCTACCTCCCAGTAAAGCCTGGTAGGCCTGGTCTACCGCCTGGGAAAGCCTGAAGGTGCCGATTGCGGTGGCGGGGGACCCTCAGGAGGTCTCCGATGATGGCAGGGAAGCCCTCGGAGACTATCTGGGGTCCTCCGCTGCCATTGGAGACCTCCTGGGGGGTCCCTTTTCCTAACCGTTGCAGTGAAATAGCAGCCTCTTCACCACCAACTGTTTGAATGGAACGATAAAAAGGCAGGGGAAATTTGAATTTCCTGCCCTTTTCTCCTGCCTTTTTTTCGTTCCCAAGTCGAGGCTCCGTTCACAAGTCGAAGCAACATTTTACGAACGGAGCCGTTCGTAACTTGAAATGTCCGCAAGTGGAGACATTCATAACTCGAGGTACCACTGTAGAATTAGAATAAGAAAGAGACATTATTATAAACAATCACACCCAGTTTCTCTTTTGCCCCTCAAAATAGACAATTGTTAAAGCATGGAGGCAATAAGGAAGTTGATAAATGTCCAGGTGGCTGTTTGAGTAGTGTAGATGAAGTAGAAAAAGAGACGGAATCCTCAATATAGAAGCTATAGACTGTAATGAGGTAGTTTGTTTAAAATCTGAAATATCCCATTTTTAATCCCTATTTGGGAACGGTGATTATGATAAAAGTGAACCTACTGGGTAATCATCAATATACAACATGGGGAGCGTTGATAAATAGGAAGTCTATTGCAGCACTGGTGTAGCATGGGTTGCCAGCACGCAAGGCAAGACAAGTTTTGCCTTGGGTCCCCCTAAGGAGAAAGGTGGGGTAAAAATATTTTAAATAAATAAATAATAATTGCAGCCCTTAACCAAGCCCCTCCAGGACTCCTTTTGGGGTTGTGGGGCTGGGGGAAGCATTGATGAGAAGAACAGTGAATCAAAAGGCAAAGATTTGGGGGGGAATGAAAGAGAGGAGAAGGAGATGAAAGCCCATCACTGATCATTGTCCTGTGGGTAAGCGAGGAGATACAAAGGGGGGGCGCTGAAGCCCAAGGAGGAGGAGGAGATCAATCCCCTTGGAGTGCTTCTAAACACTTTCAACAGGACTGTTAAAAATAGACCGGGGGTCATGCAGAATTTGCAGAACATGAGGGAGGGGGAGCAAACGGCGGGGCCAGCCAAGTCATCTGTGCTTTCTTGGGGTTTTTTCTGCAAGAAAAATCCCAGGGGTCCCACAGCTCTCTTGCCCCTCCCCTTCCACCGCTGTTTCTAGCCTCCTGCTCCAAGAGAAACCCCAGTGTCCTGGTCCTGAAACAGATTCATACACATGCACATATATACACACTCCCATGTTCTAACATGGCGATTCCTGAAGAGTTCTGTGTGTAGGTGTGCATTACCACAAGCCTGGGGACATTCCCTCCAAGCTGCCTCTGCCGACTTCCTCTCACTTCCCCAGGAATCAAGACCTGGAAGTGGAAGTTAGGGGCCATTGGACTTTATCTTTTTTCTTTTAATTGTTTTTTATTATTATTTTCCTCCCCTAAGACTTTAAAGTTAAGAACCTTAAGAAATACCTGCACAATATTGAAAGAAAGACAAGGGTTAGGGAAGAAGACATGTCCTTTAGGTCTAGCAATAGACTCAATAGAATTAAATAGGCAGAAAGAATATGCTTCAGTCCATGAGGATTTAATACAAGAACAATCAAAAACAGTATTAGATGGAGAGCAAACCAGCTCAATAATGGCTTCATGAGGAGATGTTGTGCAAATTAGGTACATTATACAACCTTAACCTTTGAACTGTAGAGCTGGATCATCAAGTCCAGCCCCTCTCCAGGAGGCACAGCGGGGAATTGAACTTTCAACCAGAGACCTAAACCACTGAGCTGTCTTAGTTTTTTCACACATGGCTTCTCCATTTTGGCTTTATTTTTGTGAAATAAATCATGACATATTGTAATAACTCATGTGTCATTGTTCATCTGAGGTTTTATTTACCTGATGTTCATACCTGCTAAGGACCAGATGATTTTTTGTTATGCCCTGATATGTGGAACCATAGAATTCAATGAGGGTGTACTTTCTTTTTCACATGATTATGTATCAACAGGATAACTTCAAGCATTTGTTTGATATATATTTAAAGCAGTTTAAACCAGCTTAAAACTATATGTCACCAGAGATCAGTAACTCCTGCATGTGTTACTTAAAAGTAAGAGAAGGCATAAACTTATGGGTAATAGGAAAGAGGTGATTCTGAATGGAATCATCCTGAGTTGTGAATCATGATGTATTTTGCAGAATTACTGTTAAAACTCTTTATGTTCCATATTCTGAGATTATGAAGTACCTTTTCTATGTTATTTTTCTATTTCCATAAAAAAGTTTTTCAGAAATGTAGTAGTGTGAAGTTTGAGTTGGGGGGGATCATCAAAGAAAATACTGGGCTGAAAGCCAGGGAGGTTTTACCTGGTTTGTCTGCAAACAACGTGTGGCGCATTTGTGCTGGCACATACCCTTCTCTCTGGATCCTCCTGAACCATATTAGGCTACACTTGCAATTCTTCCCTCCACCCAAGTGGTAGGTTGAAAAATCAACAGTACAAAATCTGAAATGTTATGTTTCTAATATGGATAAAAAGATACAACAAAAATAACAATGGACTTTGAATTTACTGTACAACCTAAACATATTAAATATCTAAGTATTACCAATTCCAAAAATTTGTCAGTGCTTGAAAAAATTAAATAATAAATCATCATACACAAAAATAAAACAAGCCCTTTTGGCCTGGTCAGAATATTCCACCACATGGCTTGGAAGAATTGTAATTTTTAAAATATTAACTATTCTGAAACTTTTTTCTTATTTCAACTTTTGCCTCTAGAACTTTATCAAAGCTTTACAATTACAAAACTTCTTTTGTTATTTCATTCACAGAGGGGGCAAAGCTAGATTGTCTCATAGGTTAAGTACTATTTAGCCCATCTAAGGAATGGGGACTGGGAGACCTAAATCTTCAGAAATATTATGAAACGTTTCAGTTGAGGTGATTTTTCTTCTTCCAAAAATTGCAACATTTGCAAAACCTTGAGTAGAAATTAAACTAAGACTTGTAGATCTGACAGTATAATGGTTTTCTTTATACCAAGTGCTAAACTTAATAAATAATCCAAAAGTAGTACAAGGTACCAGAGCTTTGACTGTATTTGAGGAGATAATATTATCTTAGAAAAATGAATGTAAAAGTGTTATTCGTCTATTTATAAAATATTGAACAGCAGAATATCTGGACATTTTTAGGATTAACACTGATACGAGGAAAAAGATATTGACAGAAACTTTGCAGATGGTGAATGAGGAGTAATGTGGAGAACCCTGGCACAGAGATCTATTTCAGAGAATGTTAGGTAGAATACTATTAAATTCATACTTAGGTGGTATTTAATATCTAAAAAATTAAACTGCATTAAAAAAACCCAACTAATGTATCATTACATTAGAGATATGAGGCAAAAAGGCACACATGTCCATGCATGGTGGGCATGTCTTTCTGTAATAAATTTTTGGGAAGGAATCAGGAAAGAAATGTGAAATAATAACATTTAATTTTGACTCTAAAATGGGTGATTTTAAATATTTTTACAAATGAAAACAAGACTGTCCCACATAATGTAGGTAGGCTAGCCATTGCTGAAAAGTTAACACATGAAATAAGAGCAGGTAGGACCCCAACATACATCAACTAGTTTCGAAATATGTGGACTGCTTTTATTCGCTTTGTTGACAGGTGTACCAACCCAAGGTGGAACCACCCACAATGCATTGGGATATTTGGCAGGGTTAAGGTTAATCCAATAAATTTGATATCAGACTTAAGTAATAAAAATGATGAACTAAGGTTTTAAAGTTAAACTTGTATGTGAGTGCATTTCCCCCCCAAATAGATATACAGCAATATTGTGATTTATTTTGTGTGTGTGTGTATTACCATGCATATTTGTAAATATTTTTTAATTTAAGAAAAGATGGGCATTCCTGTTTTTTTTGTCATAGTGGCATGACTTTTGACACTTCATACCACTTTTTCCCATACGGAACTTACATTTCCCCAATATTCACAGAGATATCTTGTCACTGGCAAAAACTGAGTCCTTCCTAGACAAGAGTACATTACAATGAAGAAAACCTTTTAAAAGGGAGTGAATGACTTTGAATAGACTTGAATTGGAGCTACCAATTTCCACTCACAGGTTACAAAATCAGAATTGTGTTTTCAGTCTAACATTGCAGTTTGATCCCTATATGTCCCCTGTCCTAAATGAAGGCATTATCAGAAACCATAAGGACTAGATATTGCCAACATATGAATCCGAAAGGTAGACAATTCATTTAGATTGATAACTCACCCCTACAAAATTCCTAAGGAATTCCCTAGAGGACTCGATATCTGTATTGGATAACTCGATGAAATCTCCCATCATGCCCTTTTCTGATGCTGGCACTTCCCTGTAGAAACTTTTGGCTCTGGCATAGAATTGTATCTCGCCATTGATGACTTCACTTGTCAGAGCATAAAGTTTGACTGCAAAGAGACAAGAGTAATAAATGAGCATGGACTTTTTTTTAACAGTATGAACAAATTTAAAATTTCACCTTCATTTAGGGCGCAGATAAGGAATAGATATTAAACTTGTCCTGTACAGAGACATTTGGAAAAAGAAAGGGGTTGGGTAAGATACTCTTTTTCATTTCTGAGCTGGTCAAAGAGGAAAGAAAATATTAGGCAATATTCAGTCTGAAGTAGCCATATCTTTAAATGAACCACCACAATTAATTTTCAAGTAAGAAATGCTCTCTTCATTTTTGTTTTAATTCAAATGCGACTTAATACTTCTAATGCCATTTCAACCTCTGAAGAACCCCATAAGGAAGTCACAAACTGAAGAAATGCAGCTTTAATGATACCAAGTTCAGAAGCACGGATCTCCCTGTTTGAACGAGGGGGGCAGCATTCCCTACAAGCAGCAATAAGCTGCAACAGGAATACTGTACTGTAATTCACAGCAAAGTGGCCTGTGAGAATAGCATTCTTAGGTTTCATCCGAACAGCATGCCATGGCTATTGCTCCATGCAACAAAAACAGTGCTCTCAAGTCTTCTTGTCATCACCTGCTTAAGGCAACTGCCAAATTCATCCCATTAAACCTTTAATCTGTTACACATTTATGTTATGCTTGAGTGATATGTCTACTTCAAGAGAGTGCTGAAGTCACCAAGGGTCAAATTTTGGATTTTTGCACACATCCCAGCCCCCAATTATTTATTTTGACATACCTTGTAAGGTTTTGTGAAAAAGAAACAAACAGTAACAGATGATTCCCTGGTCATGGTGACTAGTTAGTAATGGTTGCTGTGCAATTCCAAGAGGTTTTCCTTTACTTTTTTGCAAGCATGTATACACCTACCCGGTTCCCCCTAAAATAAGACCTAACCTGAAAATAAACCCTAGCATGATTTTTCAGGATGCTTGTGATATAAGCCCTACCCCAAAAATAAGCCCCAGTTAAGTGAAACCCCACCCTCCACTATTGTGCACCATTGTGCAGCAACCTGAAGAAGATGACATGACTATATTCAAATAAATGTAGATTGTTGTACATGAAAAAAAAATACAGCATCCCCTGAAAATAAGCCTACTGCATTTTTTGGAGCAAAAATTAATATAAGACCCTGTCTTATTTTTAGAGAAACATGGTAGCTAACACAAGCTGTGAAATGGAAATAGCATCTGAAATACTTTATCTGTATCTTGTATATATTTACTACAGTAAATTTACTAGAGCACATTTACAACACAATTGTAAAATTATCAAGGTCTGTAGAGAGAAAACAGAGGAAGTGGTAAGACAGAGATATTGTTACCTATGGTATCTGACACATTCCTTTTATACCACTTATGCTTTTAAACACGATCAAAAACAAAACAAATCATTGTTATGTAACCAGGCAATGAGATGGGTATGCATAGTATGGGCAAAAACTTATTAGTTCTCCTAGGATGAATGCAGGCAGAGCACACCAATTTTAGTCACTTCATTTTAAAAAATCTATTATGTGAATCAAGTCTGGTGTTCCAAATGTATAGACCCAAACTCCAAGATGATCTACTGTTACTCCACACAGCTGAGAGCAGACATTCTGACCAAGCTTCTTCTGTGAAACCGCTTGTAGAACATGCGGAGCAAGATGGGACTGTAAGAGGGTGCCTGCATGCAAGTTTGAGAAGGAGTGTCGGACATTTATTTATAACCTTGCATGCTGTCTGAAATTTGAATGACCTGGAGGGACTTTTCTAGGCTGTGATTATCTATCTAGCACTAACCAAACATTCCTTCCAGCTTTCGAAATTCAAAGAGAACCCTGCCTCTCCACTGAATTTCTATCCCTCTGTTCCATTGGTTGATAGTTGTTTGTTGCTGTTGATCTGTTCAATTGGTTGCGAGTACATGTTCTGTAAAGAAAGCAGTATATACAAGCATGTAATTTCAAACAACAGTAAGTAATGAAATGTTTTTTATTGTTCCTCTTAAAGTGAGTTATTGAAATTTAAGTGCCAGTTAATGAGGAAAGGGTGGACTCCAGCAAACCTGTAGTTATTCTCCTCTATGTATCTTTATACTTTTACTGTATAGCAAAAAGATAATTTTGCCAGAAATTCAATATTCTGCAACAGTTCTTTGAGTCTTTGGATAGTGATAAATATGATAGCCAGTCATGTGTACATGGGGGGGTGCTCAGTTGCAGAACACATGCTTAGCATACAGTAAGTACCTGGTTCAATCCCTGATGCCCTCAGATAAAAAGACTTCCAGAGGTAGGACTTGTATGAAGACCTCTGCTGAAGATCCCAAAGTACCACCACTATCAGTAGGAACAGGCAATAACTGGGTTTGATGGACCATCAACAGTCTTTTGGTATAAATCAATTTCATCTGCTCTTATTTGGGTATGTGGTGATATAACTGAGAACAAACATTAACATATCCAACTGAGGGAAATTTAAAATAATTATTTTTTTAGGAATTTTCTCCAAGGAGTTCAGAGAAATCAAAGGCATACTTAAACAGGATATCCTCAGCTGAAATTGTTTTCAGCCAGTATGTTCCCTGTTAAAACCCTATCAAGGAGATTAACTAAATTAATTGATTTTAAATACTGAAGATGTAACATTTATGTCCTCCTAAACAAAAATAGGTAAGAGTTCATTTTCACAAACAACAGCTCTCTTCATCTCTCTTTGCAGGAAAATGTAGGGCAGTGTCAACACTTTCACTAGCATGCACTGTACCTTTGGGCAAATGACTGGGAAGATAAGATAGGAAAAAGAATGGAGGGGGGAACCCAACCTTGTCTCTTATCCTCAGGAATTTTATTTATTCATTTATTTAAAACATTTCTATTCTGCCTTTCTCCCCAAAAGGACCCAAGATGTCTTACATCATTAAAACAGTATTTAAAAGCTAAAAACTAACTATACAAATATTTTAAAAAAAGAATTAAACAAGTATTATATTCAAATGGTAACTAAGATCAATATTAGAACACATAAAATGTCACAAACATTATTCAGTCAACACTGCCAACACTCATGCAAGGATATAAGCAACCCTAACACAGTAGGACTGATTGTGTTTAGGGATGTGCAAACATTTGGATTCAGAATTCAGAATTACAACTAGAGATGGGAATATTCGCATGTGAATACGAATACCCCTGCACAGGTGGACATAACGAGGATCCAGCCCCCTGGGGCCAGATGGTCCACTCACCTTCCGCTGTTGCTGTGGGCTCTGCACTTCCTTCCTATTGCGCCGCAACTAGTGGTCTGCGAGCCACTCCTGGCAGGAGGCGGGAGGATGAACCTCCCTGCCAGGTCAAAGAGTGGCTCACAGATTGTGAGCTCTGGAGCAATAGGAAGGGAGCACAGAGACCGCAGCAACCGCGGGAGGTGAGTGGACCGTCCGGAGCTGGACCCTCATTATGTCCACTTGTGTGCGTGCGTGCGTGCGTGCGTGTGTGTGTGTGTGTGTGTGTGTGTGTGTATCTCCAGAATTTCTGGAAATCTAGAACTCCTTTACAGTCAACATGAATCCTGGATAGTCATTATTTTCCCCCTTAAAAAAACAGAGAGAAAACATTTCAAAAAGATTTCCCAGTGTCCTCTGACACCTTCTCAGTGTTAGTGCTAAACAAAAGAGCGCACAACAACAGCTAGCAGTATTAGGAGATGACTGTAATGAGCCTCTTGATTGAATCCTGAACAGTGAGAATGCCAGCAGTAAATGCCAGCCACATTGGGGAAGCAAAGGGCAGGTCACACTAGGGAGTGGGTAAATACACTGGGCAGGCAGATTGAAGCAGCAGATGACCTGCTTCAGCACTTGGGACTCTATAATACAACTGCTGGTACTTCTGTTTGGGGTGCTACGAACGCTGCTAGTTTCTTCCTGTTCTGTGTGACCCCTTAGTCCTAACTGGACTTTCTTCACTAGTTGCTGCTGCATGTGATGGGAAGTTAGCTTGCACTGCCCCCACTGCTACTTAATATCCACCGCCCACTGCTTAATTTGGGGGTCCAAGAGAGTTGCTAAAGCGCACTCCTCCTTTTTCTACAACCTGTGATGGAGGAGGTCCTTTAGCTTGCTGGCCAGGACCACCCTTTCAGGCTGGGAAAATGCTGTTCTCCTTCAATGGAACCTCTTCCCATCCACTAGACTGGCCCCTCATTATGCCCTCCCTCATGACACCCAAGCTGGAACATTAGGATTATCTGGCTAAGGACGGCCTTCTCCCCACTAAGGACCTGTGTTTGCACCCTCGAGGCTTCAGAGGACACAAACTACTTGACCCATAATATGCTATTCTTCTCTGCCCAGAGGAGCATTCACACCAATGGAAGTGTCCACTGCCAAACCATGGAGTGCCTTTTGCTGCTGCAGCAGTCTTTCAAAGCAGGTAGAAAGTGGAGTTCCAGGAAGTTGCCACAGCCTGGATTGGGCAGTGCAGAGGCAATCCCAGTTTGTCTTGCCTCTGCTGCAATAGCTCACAGCCCCAGACACTGGGATGAAACTGCCTGCCCTGTCATCTTTCTAGCCCACTCAATTATATTAGGTATGCATTTGTCTTCTATACTCTGCAAAACACCACAAGGTACGAGGTTGAGGATGCAGACCATACCCCATCTTCCCAGCTTGCAGTGCTGCCACTGTGTTTGCCCCATTTTTTATGACAAACAGACAACAGGTGGACATACCAGTGAATCAAGTGGTGTCTCACAAAACTGTATAGCTCCTTCATCTTCATATGCCTCGCGTGGGCTATCCTGCCTTGGACTCACAAGCTCCCTCCAGCTTTGCCACATTGACCCATCCACTGGCATTGTAAAGGGAGGGCATACAGTCATTCTCTTCTTGCAACATTTAGCTGACCAGAAAATATAGAGCAGCCCTTTCACATTTACTGTGAACATTGTTCTAATAGAAACCAATTCAGACATTTTCCATCTCAGGCACAAAAACCTGAAATGGATCCTTGTTGCAGGGTTCTCTGGGTGAAGAGAGATGTAATGTGTGTTATACAGATGTAACAGAGTGGTAGGAATGGGCTGAATATTCAACATATTCGAAAGCATTTTTTCAGGGCAGACAATGTGTATGTTCAATCTTTTCCTGAACATTTAAAACATACTGGCCGAAATCCTGTTGCTTATGTAGTAAGTTGCACTAGAATAAATCCATTAAATCACTGGAGATTTGGTGACTCAGCTCCTCTATTCATGGCACAACCCATAAGGAACTCAGTAGAAAGTATTTCTAAATAGACATGTTTCAATGGCCCTATACATTCTCTTTTCTTCCTGACCTTATTATCTAATTACATGTGCCCCTTCAATCTCTAGCATTAATTTCTTAATTTCTTATACTTTTGCCACCTTGGATTTACAATATATGCTTATTGGTTTTATTGTTTTTAAATTTGTAAACCGCCCAGAGTAGGCCTTTGGTCTAGATGGGCGGGATAGAAATCCAGTCAGTCAGTCAGTCAGTCAGTCAGTCAGTCAGCCAGCCAGCCAGCCAGCCAGCCAGCCAGCCAGTCAGTCAGTCAGTCAGTCAGTCAGTCAGTCAGTCAGTCAATCAATCAATCAATCAATCAATCAATCAATCAATCAATCAATCAATCAATCAATCAATCGCATTATTTAGAGCTACAGGACATGCAAAAGAAAGGAACCACTTAGCAATGGCAGGACAGTCATAGATAGATGCTGTGGTCCAAAACATCTGAATTTTATTCTTCCAAGGTACTTTTATAATCTTCTGTCAGTCTGTTAACTGGTGAATAGCAAAGATTAATCAATTCATTCTCAAATGCTTTCACAGCCGGGATTCAGTGGTTGTTGTAGGTTTTATGGGCCATATTCTGGTATAGTGTGTGCGATAGTTGAGTATTTGTAGCTGTGGGATCAGCTTTTTGTCATTTTTAGGAGATTGGGGTGATTATGGTGATCAGGGTGTTTTTTGTTATGGGTGTATTGTTGTGATAAGGGAGGAGATGATCTGTCACTGTGATTGATGGGTGTCATTAGCTAGTCTTTTGTGTGCAGTAATCACTGGTCCTTGTGGCTGGGTAGAGTTTGTTGACCTTTTGCAGGCTGTATTTTTCAGTGCTGGGAGCCAGGTTTTGTTTAGTTTTAGACTTCAAGTCTAAAACTCTGATCACTGCACACAAAAGCCTAGCTAACAACACCCATTAATCACAGTGACAGATCATCTCCCCCCCTTCTCACAACAATACACCCATAACAAAAAACACCCTGATCACAATAATCATCCAATCTCCGGAAAGGACGAAAAGCTGATCCCACAGCTACAAAAACTCAACTATCTCACACACTACATCAGAACAGAGTTCTAACTCCTGTCCTCTGAAGATGCCAGTCACAGAGACTGGCGAAACGTTAGGAAGAAAAAACCTCCAGAATATGACCAACAGCTCGAAAAACCTACAACAGCCAAAGATTAATTACTTTCAGCAGTAGTTAATATTTGGAGCTGCATTGTCAAACTTTGTAAATTGTATGTTTTAAGAAGCATTGGCCCACAGCATCTCCCATTTAAAAATGACTGTAAAAGCAGCATATCAAGAGCATATTAATCTTATATTTGTAAATATTTTGGAGCTATGGGAACTGAGAAGCACATCTGTGCAGTATTCCTGTTTTTTCTCCATTTATGCAATATTGCTTTAGGTTATTATGTGCCATTATGGCAGCCCTAGGAATTGTTTACCACTGCTACCCCGGCTGAGTTTTCTGTCCAAATGGAGACTTGAACCTAGATCTAGGACCCAAGAACCTATTCCAAACTGACTTTCAGCTACTGTAACTGAGTAAGATTTCCTAAGAAATCTCAGAACAACTTGTACACGGATGCCCAAGAGAAGACAATATTGTATGCCTCTTCTGCTCTTCTTCCAAGCTTAAAACAGGGCTCATCTGATGAGAGTCCTAAAATGAGCACACCAGTAACGAAAGTGAATTGCTGATTTGTCTGAAGGAGCCGCTAGGCTAAGCTGGCACTATAATAAAAGCAGCATTTCTAAGCAGGTCCAGTGTATGCTCTTTTCATTATTGACTAATAGCGTTATTCCTCCTCCATTCTAGAGGATGGCATGGCTTCCAGGGCAAAAGGCTATCACTGGGGATTCCTCACTGAACTACTATTCCCATTTTTAGAATTCAAATACTCTACACACAGCATTCTAAAATACCACCAATACTGTCCTCCAGTTAACTCACCCAAAGGCAGTCCTTCCAGCAGGTACAGATAACTCTGGAAAAAATCATTCCGTATTGCCTTGTGCAGGATGAAGGACATGCTGTGCCGACAGAGCTCCTCATCTGTCTTCTGCCAGCGTGATTTGAAGGCCAAATGGGCTCCCTTGAACGCCATGCTATCTCTAATTTTCTGGAAGAAGTGAATTGAATGGCACCCAAGTCAGACTAGCTGTCCTTTCCAAGGGCTGTGATGGTGTCATTTAAATCACAGTCCTCTCTGTCATTCTATCCTCTGGTGTGAGTCTGCCTGTGGCTCCTGGCACTTGCTCAGAATAATCCCCAAAGTGTCACGCTCTTAAGCTAGCAGGTGCTGGGAAGTGATAAAAAGCCAGATTGCTTAGATAGGGGGAAAGTATTGCTGCTGTTAAAGAGGTCATTTTAATTAGAGTTTAAAACCACTTTAATGTCTTCTTGAAAGCAGCAAGAAATTGTCCAGCAGTTCTTCTACACTTTAGCACTGCAAAAGGCAACACTATTTACCATTACAAAGGTCATTTCTTTAGGGTTAAATCTTTCTTTGCTACTCATAGCTAATTGTTTGATCCCTCCTTTACTTTCCTAACTGGTGAAATTATTGGATTGTAAGTTTCTTAGGGCAAGGACCTATTTCCTGGGTTTACGTTACTATGTATAACTGGAAGAGGGCACTAAATAGATAAATATGCTCTTCCTAGCACTTGTATGGTGCCATAATAAATCTTGGAATGGGACATTTAGCGATAGATATGCTTACTACTCTGGTGTATTTAACCACTGCCCCCAATATTTCAAAATACTGTAAAGGATGAGCTTTACATAAAAATGCAAATTTAGCCAAATTACTTTTGATATGGGGAGTTCACTGCAGTCTCTTATGGCAGTATGAGAGGCCGATACCAATACTTAGTCTAATGTTAAGGTTGGTTTCAGATTTTGAAGGTATTAATTGAGGTTTAAACACAAGGGAATAAAATAACAACCCAGAACAAACTTGCAGAATTGGCAGTCAAACTTCCAGATCATTAATTTGTGATGACAGTGCTGGTTTGTTGCTTGAAAATTATATTTTACACCTACAATGATGGTAAAAATTACTACTGGCAGGCCTGGCAGCTACAGAGAGACTGGTGACAATGATTTTTGGCAATTAAAGACTGGTCCTGTCCTGTTCCAAAGACTTCCCCAAGACCAAAGGAATCCTAGGGACATGGGGCAGGAGGGATAAAATGCAGCTGTGGCTGATGACATCATCATACTAATGTGGCATGACTTTACATTACTGGATTCCAGTCATTATTTTCTTGTGAAAATGCTTCTACAGTCCTAGCAGCACAAATGAATGCAATAACATTCTGTAATCAGGACCTCTCTCTCTCTCTCTCTCTGTGTTCCTAATTAAAAGATATAACAAGTCTTTCCATGGAAGAAGAACAATAATGTACAGTACTGAAGGTGTGGATGTTAGTTTATCAGAAAATCAAATACTGTAAAAGCAAAAGCAACATGTGCTGCTTATAAAGCACTCCATCACACTTAAAGCCCTCTCTAGGTAGTTTACAGCATAAATATGCAGGTTATAGATTGCCCCCTCCCTCTGAGAGATGGGTACTCAAATTATTGACCTCAGAAGGAGAGAAGGCTGAGTCGACCTTGAGCTGGCTACCTGAATCCATTAGGGTCAAACTCAGGTTGTAAGTAGATTCTTGGCTGCAGTATTGCAGTTTAACCACTGTGACACAAGACTCCTATCAAAAAAGTAGCAACAAACAATTCCAGATAAGTAGGTGTGGCAATTAATACATAAAAACATAATTCAAATATATTACTATCCACTCAAGTTACAGTAAGTAGAATTATTCACAGTTTTATGATCCATGCAAGAAAGTAAGTCAGGATTTTGCATCCTAGCGTATGCAAGGCTAGGAATTATAATTTGGTTTAAAATGTCTATTAAAGATAATTGAAATTATGTTTAAAATAGCCAAAACCTTTATAACAGGGGGAGATTTGTACTTCCAGATGTTTTTTGCCTACCCTTCAGCCACACCAGCATAGTCCATGGTAAAAATATCATAGGATGTATGATATAAACATTTCATTCACCTTGATACAGAGCTAATTGATACCACATAATCCTGAATAAGATTAAGAGGGAGGTTAGATATGTGTTCAGTGTCACACATCTAAAATGGTGAAGATAATTGGACCATATTTATGTTATTTTGGAGTAAACAATGTAAAACTTCTTCAATTCCAAAAGTCCTCTCCCCCCCCCCATTCTTTTCTATTGAATTGCTTGCTTGAATTCACCCATGTTTTAAGCTCCTCAGAAAATGGAACATGCTGATTCCCCTCTTTGAGTATGCCCAACAACACGTTCTATTCTAGAAGAAGCACAATAAATGATATCTAAAAGGTCTTCTTATTTTTCATTGCTAAGGCTTCATGACAAAATCCCAGATATGAAATGTTAAGCTTGGAATCTACAACTGAGAGGAGAGGGAGGGTCTTATGACCATGCCACAAATCTCATCATGCCTCAACGTTGTCTATGCCGGCTAGGCCAGATGGGAGTTGCAGTCCAACTTTTATTCTGTAAGAGCTGAAACAATGCAGTCACACAAAATATGGTTATGTATTTTGGACTTGTGAGATAGCTAAATTCAAACCTTATTAAATTATCACTTAGTAAAGGGTCAATGAAGTTTTAAAAAAGACACAAAATCTAGAAGCCGTTTCATTTGTCTCACCTCTTTCATTATTAAAAGTATTAGCATCTATGTCCTGCTTTTCTTTGCATGACTTTCTTCACTTCAGGACTATCTTAATACTGTACAGTAGTTATAGCATAATGTCTGTAACAGTTCTCTTCTGGAATTGTGAAATCATGAAGACATGCTAAGCCCATTTCTTTTAGAGGCTGAGAGTAGGGAGTCTGATCAAGTAACAAAAATAAATAAAAAGGATCTACTAAAGTGATTTGACAAGAGAAACTGAAATTGTATTTTAATAGCCCAGGTTGTACTAAACTGTCCCAGGAGGATCATATCTCACTAGAAAGCACCATGTTAAGTTTATCAAATATCCAACACCTAGACATTGAGCCGTTGGGACTTGTACGATAATATTTCCCATGGATTAGTACAAAAGCTTGCAAGTATCACCTGATAACAATTTATAAATGCCAGGGGTTATATTATCTAATGATAATTTACAATTCCTGTTTTTAATGTTGCATCTATTTTCTATGGGATTGTTTCAAACTCTCAATGATCTTATATCTGCTTTGACATTGTTTAGCTTAATAGCTTTATTTATTTGTTTGTTTATTCAATCAATTCCTTAGCAACCTTTCAAGAGCACAGTTATGCCAAGGAGGATTAAAATTATGCAGGGGTTGGATAAAATGAATAGAGGGAAGCTTTTTATTTTTGCTTTCACGCAATACCAGAACCAGGGGATATTCATTATTCTTCCAAAACATGCCATGAATTCTGAATTTTATCAGCCTATTTTTTTTTAATGGTGAAACCTTTAATTATCTATCCCAAAGTTAAAGAAAATATGCTCTGAGCCACTTGGGGTATTTTTGTTAATTTCTGTTTTGGCTATAAAGGCTTGCAAATGCTTTCTGCATCTCTGCAAGTCTCTACAATGTGCATAGAATTATAACATGCAAATACGTAGTATTCAAACTGTTCTGGACTTCCATTTTCCTGAAAGACCAGATGTGCAGTGCACAGGTGCTATCAGTTATGCCCTTGATATTGGAGCCCCAAGTGGCATCTTTAATAAGTCCACATTTGAACATCAACTGCAACCTCTCCTGCCCAAACTTACCCAAACTCTATATATTACTATTATATGTCATGTGTGGGATTTGGAAGCTTCTGCTGGTAGTAATGTTTTATTCATGTCTAGCTCAGATTTGGCCCTACAATTATTTTAAATGTGTGTTTAAAATACTTTTCAATATTGTGTCACATCTGAATTTTATCTGTTTTAATTACTATTTTACCTTGAGCTACAATTGTATAATTATTTGGGGGATGAAGAATGGAGCCCAATCAACATTTATCTCTGTAGTTGAGTTCTATTTTTAAAGATGGAGGCCTATGCAGAGAGAGGGAGAGAGACTGGACCACTATCATCTATCTTTAGAATGACAACATAAGCCTATTAAGAGTCTAAAGTTAAGAATAATGTACTATATTTGAGAAAACCTCCCTATCAGCCAATGAGTCTGAAGATAACACAGTGATGTCATAGTTCCTTGGTCACTGAAAAGCTAGACCTAAGCAACAATATCTCATTGACCAAAATTGCCCTTTAATATAACAACTCAAAAGAACTGGGAAGAAAGGCACAGATTATGACAATGGGCGAGGTACCTAGACTGCAGGAAGCCTTGGATCCATTATTCAGCATTGTAACTAGGTAATACCACAATGATTCAGGTTTTGGGGTAGAGATGCCTCCTGACCAATTTATTTTATGCTAGATTATAAAAATGTTCTACTTTGAATAAAATTACTCTTGTAGGGGATTTTCTTATTGTGTAGCTCAATATTTTACTACCAGCCACTTCAGTGCTAAAAAAAGTGGTCTCAGAAGTCAATAAACTACAGAAAAACACTAGTCTGCAAAAAACAATGAATTCTGAGGCACTGTAAGTATCTTAAGTGGACTAGAGACCGTTTCATCTAATGCATCATTTATTACTCTATAGTATGAGACAGAAATATAGATGGCTAGAAGCAGTGTGGTAAGGACTGTGATTTTTGAGGAAAACAAAATGCAAAAAGCATTGACTGTGGTAACACTTAATTGTGACCATTCATAAAACACTACTGACAATAACAGAAATATCCCAGCTTCAATAAGTATGATGAAACCCTGACTTTACTGTCATTCAGTGCAATGTCACTTGGTGTAATGTCTGTGACGTAACTGATTTTTATCAGTAGGGGGTTGGCTTCAGGCATCCAGTGATTCTAAAACTTTAATTGACTGCTATGTGTATCTGCTTTGCATAGGTTGAACTATACAACATTGGGCTGGTGTGTTCACCTACAGAAGAGCATTGGGATAAGGCCATAGTTCTTAGCATTTGTGGTTGTGTATCCCAGCAGGGTTTTTATAGCTTTCAAATAATAATGTTCCTTGTGGAAACCTTTTTGATTTGTGTTTTTGGAGTGCTGACATTCATGTATGTCAGCATATGATCTATGGTAACACCTAGCTGTTATGGGTGGGGTGATCAATGATCTTGCTGGATTCCCTTCTAGGTAATCTGAAGTTTTTGCAATGCTTATTTCTCAGATGAAAGGCACACATCTAAGTTTTATCTAGGCTGGTTTAAGCTGGTTTTTGTCATGATATGCACCAGGTTCTTCTAATGCATCTAACTGGAGATCTACTTTTGAAGAATGTCTGACTGAGCAACAAGTGTGAACCTCGTGGCGCAGTGGTTAAAACGCTGTACTGTAGCTAAAACTGTGCTCAGGACCTGGGGTTCAAATCCCAGGTAGCCGGCTCAAGGTTGACTCAGCCTTCCATCCTTCCGAGGTCGGTAAAATGAGTACCCAGCTTGCTGGGGGGGGCAATGTGTAGCCTGTATAATTAAAATTGTAAGCCGCCCGGAGAGTGCTTGTAGCGCTATGGGGCGGTATATAAGTCCAAAAATAAATAAAATAAATAAATAAATCGTCAGCATAAATACACTTTCTCCTGCCTCGGGAATGCTTAATTGCTGGTTACATGTTGAAGGAGACTGGAGTCTATATGCTGCCTTGGGATAGACCATTCTTTTGAGTCCTCCATTGGTTACATTGTCCTTAAAAATGAATGAAAAATCAGTGATTTTTCTAAAAGGATTTCTAATACATTAGTTAATATATAATTCTTTTTAAAAGATTACACAATTTTTACAGGAATACTTGATATCAGTCTAATAGATAGCCAACAGGTCAACAAAAACCACTACCATAATTTTCCTATTTTCAAAGTTGTCCTCAATATGTTGCATTAGATGTTGGACTTGTACTGTGGTGTTCTCCCAGGTCTAAATCCAGCCAGCTATGAGATGAGGATTAGTTTCACTACTTCCATTAAACAGCTATGAGATGATGATTAGTTTCACTACCTCCATTAAACAGTTGTATAATTCTTTTTAAAAGATAACACAATTTTTACAGGAATACTTGATGCCAATCTAAGTAATAGGTAGCCAACAGATCAACAAAAACCATTACCATAATTTTCCTATTTTCAAAGTTGTCCTCAATATGTTGCATTAGATGTTGGACTTGTACTGTGGTGTTCTCCCAGGTCTAAATCCAGCCAGCTATGAGATAAGGATTAGTTTCACTACCTCCATTAAACAGTTAAGAACAATTCTTTCCTAGACTCTGTAAATATAACAAACTAGTGAAATCTGCCTGCAATATTTTGGATCAGTAGGTTATTTTCAAAGTTTCAAGATGACAATCACTTGTGACTTTCTTCAATTTTGGGGGGATGCTGAAAGAGTAAATAGTTATTACAGAAATCAGTCACTTTTTTTTACTGTGCCACAATATTTTTATATGTTCTACATGGATGTCTTATTTTCAAAGTTTCAAGATGACAATCACTTGTGACTTTCTTCAATTTTGGGGGGATGCTGAAAGAGTAAATAGTTATTATTACTGTGCCTCAATATTTTTATATGTTCTACATGGATGTCATCAAAGTGCACTGCCTTGTCACAGTTGTAGCTCCAAACAGCTTTTTCCAATTCACTTAAGTCTTGTAAGGTCATTGGTCTCTACTTCCTTGTTTCTTTCAAGTATAAGTTCTGACTTCCAATGGCAATAATCAGATCTGCCATTAAAAAGGAACTGATGGGCTATTTTGTTTGGCCGAATGTTTGGCTGACTAGGTATTTAATGCAGTTGTTGTTAAACTACTTTAATAATTTCTAAGTATTTGACTGCTTCTTGACATGTTTATTTCTTCCGTAGCTTGTATCCAAGTACTGTATTAGATACATAATACATACTTTTTCCAAGTACTGTGTACAGTATGTATTATGTATCTAAGAGAAGAAATTAATTGCTGCCCAGCCAAAAGGGTTTCTTTTGCTCAAAGGAATTTGTTCACAATGTGAAAATGAGTTATTCCTTTGATTGCTATTTCTAATGTTTGGCCATGGAAGTAGCTGGTTCTGCATTCTCAGAGTATGGACAATTACGATATTTTCATTGCATTGATGAACTGTTCGTAGGTCTCTGGGACCAGGCAAATGTCTGGTTTAATTTCATGCATTGTTGTGCTGGATCCCTGCCAACTGACTTTTTAAAAAATTATGCCTCCTGAGAAATAGTACTGTTGATAGACTGCTGCCATGAGTGGGCATATTATGAACCCATATTTTGAATTTGGACTTGGGTTACAGTCCTGCTTCACACTCTGTTGTACTACAAGCTCTGAAACAAATATGAAGTCTGGATTATAACCACGTTGTCATTTTCTCCTTTTGAAAGGCATGGAAGTTTGCTACTGTGAGTAAGGGCTAGTTGGAAGGTTTCTGCCCCTTTTAACATTGCTTCTTCATTGTTGCAATCAACCACATATCCCTAGATATATTTTGGTTTCTGAACTCTCCAAGCTCGCGTGCACACACATTTTACTTATGAAAGTTATGTGCTTTAGAAGAAAAAGTTGTGTTAGCCACTTTATAATCAGGACACTGTAAAATTACTCATCTCTAGGTATCGGGCTGCAGAGCCGGAGGTTGGGAGTTCAATTCTCCACTATGCCTCCTGGGAGCAGAGCCAGCCTGTGTGACTTTGGGCAAGTTGCACATTCCAAGGGCACCTCCAGAAGAAGGAGCTGGTAAACTGCTTCTGAGTTCTCTGCATCTAGAAAACCCTGGAAAGTCACCACACACGCTGTTAATATCTGTAACAGCGGCACGCAATTATTTGGAGGTGAGGCTGCTAAATCTGTGTGGACAGCAACATGTCTGTAAATAAGAAAACTAAAATAAGCCTAAGGTGGAGAAAATGTTCAGAAGACATATTATAAAAAAGACTGTCCACACGGCATGCTGCGCCTCAGGAAGATTTCTTCTCTTTTCTTTAAAAACGTAATTCTGTAGCTGGTTTCTTCCCTTCCTCCTTAAGGAAATATCCGCTGTCACAAAGAAACAAGACCAACCGAACACAGTGGGGCTTTTCCCTACAAACACTGAAAAGAACAACCTCCTCTTTCTTTCACCCAGCCAGCCAGCCCCTTCCTTCGCTCGCTCTGTCTCCCGATTCCACCATTCACACGAGAAGCGAAAGCTCAGCCCTGACAACACGTTCCTACATTCCTTCCTTCCTTCCCGGATTCAGCCTGCGCGCATGCGCCCGAGACAGGGAGTGCGCCTGCGCCCGAGGAGTGGCTTTTTTCCCTCCCCTTGGTAACCGTCTCGCTCATCTATTCCCTGGCTCTTAGCGGAGGGTCTCCCACCGGTCCGGCTTCCTCGCGAGTTAGCGCCGCCGCCGCCGCCGCCGCCATGCAGGGAGAGGACGCGCGGTACCTCAAAAGGTAACCCTTTCTCGGCAGAGGCGCTGACGGGGAGCCGAGGGTAGGGAGGGCCTCCTCAGATCGGGTCGTGAAGGCGGGGGGGGGGTGCAAGCGGGAGGGAGGGTGTGGCCGTGGCAGGAGATGCCGAGGATGCTCGAC